GTCATCATTATTGTCAAGTTAATTATTGTTTCATCTCAAGATGACAAAGCTTGTTTATTTATGTGGTCTTGAGATCATCAGATTCTGATTTTTTTTAAAAAGCTCATGAAAATTGAAGGACAACTATAAAATGTCAGCGTTGCTTCCTGGGGATACGTTTTAATAGATATGTCTTCATAGATGGAGCTATGTTTTAAAGCATCACAGAAGTACGATGCTTAATGTGAAACACTTTTACTGAATAGACCCTATTGTCACTGAGAGAAAGTTTAGCTTAAATTCCCATTGCATTTGTGACTGGTGCATTTACATCGGTACACATTTTGGCTTAACAAACAAGAAAGCTCCCCAGAATGCCAGTGTCTCCCGCCTTAATATGAGTTTGGGTCGGAGGGTTGATGGGAAGAAAGAAGAAACAGTAAAAGATTAATAGTTTGGATGATAATACACTGACCTTGCCACAGTCATGAATAATTATTGTGGTATTGTGTGAAAAACCCATATTTCATTTATGAGTGAGCTGGTTGTCACTTTCAGACAGCTCCAGGGACAGAAGACGCAGCTGAGGCGCGAGCGAGCGAGCGGGGAGGGCCCGGGAATATCCAGTTCTCCCAGCAAAAAACAGAAAGTGTGATTCATGTGACATTGAGGAAGTCTGTAAAGCCACAAAGTGTCGCGCTGCCATATATTCTCTGTCACAAAACAGCGAAAAGAGGAGAGGGAGTTTAAAACGTCTGTAAAATGCTGAGATTTTAAGGCTAGCTTCCTGTTCTCTACTGAGAGATGCCATCTCAGGAGGAATGCTCCATTATTTTTCTGTTTTCAACCTGTTGATGCCAGTCAACTATAATTTCAAGAAAAAAAGAGATATAGTGTGAAAGACCTTGTGAATTAAATAAAAAAGATGATCCACCACAAAAGCTACCACTTACTCGAAATTCTGCTTTGGTTTTTAAGGTTATATGAAACTAAAACTGTATTTTCTGCAAAGGACAGATTTAATATTTGGTGATTGTGTTAGTGATGGACTTGGATTGGGCTCTAGAGGCTGATCTTACTGGTTTGGTGTAGAAACGTCATCTTGAGGTCAGAATTCAGGGTCTGTATGTACGAAAGAAGGCCTGAAGTTAAGCGAGGACGCCATATGGCGTCAGATATATATATTTTTAAGACCTGTCCATCCTAACTTCCCTTCTACCGTTTGCCAGCTTCTCATTTCGTCAGACCCTGAGCAGTCCTCAGGATCGCTTTCCTTCCATCTCCTTTGTGGGAAATAGAGGCTGTGCCTCTGACACTTTCAGTGGAGCCCTGCTGAGTTGAAGCCCAGATTTTTCCTGTGATGAAAAAAGGAATAAAACCATCATACAGGCTTGTTATCTGGATTAAAGATGTGACTTTTAGCTGAGAGGAATCTTAAAGGCGAAGTTCAGAGAGGATGCTCCTCGATATGTTTTGCTACTTTGTCTGCACAGATGCAGTTTTATCAGCAGATTCGGAGTGGGCGCGATTAATAAACTTGTGTGATTTGAGTCAACATTTACCATGAAATACATTTCAGAATACAGGAGAAACATCTCCACTATAATACAGCTCAGTTCCTTTTATAGTCGGATGATTATTTATCATTCTCTCTTTGCGGAGGTGTTACAGTCCTCTTGTCATTACTACTAAGCAAACACACCCTCCCAGCTGTTGTGTGTGTGTGTGTGTATCTGTGTGTGTGAGAGCACCTCAGCGGTTTCACTGCGTCCTCCCCCGAGTCTTTGATTGTAAATGAGCTGAACCCTTCTGTGTACGTCTCATCAGTTACAAACAGTGAAGTCATACCTTCCAAGGGGCCTGTTTTTGTGCAATCTGAGATGATGTCACCGGCAGCCAATCAACATGTAGCGCTGCTGGATGTAGCGTGTGTGCGTGTTTGAGCGAGGGGAAGGTGGCAGCGGCGGCTCAGTGTTGGAGTGAGAGGCGGTGGAGGGGGGGCGGGGGGGACCACTGGGAAAATTACAGTTGCCGAGTATGTATCTACGTGGTTCTTGCAGCGAGCATCGAAAAACAGAGGAAAACACGGGTTCAGGGGCTTTTCCATGGTACAGAAAGGTGCCACATACTGCATCCCTAAAGAGGCACTGACAGGCATTTTAAAAGGCTCGGCCTGGTATTTGTCTATTCACTGTTCCTCTGTGTTTTTTCCTTTTCATTGAAAATGTCTGTGTTTGACTGATGGGTTTAGTGTTACTTTAGAATATGTGAGATGTAAACGTGATAAAAAACAAACAAAGAAACAAACAAAAAATAGCTAAGTTGACTCAAAAGTCACAGGCCTTCCAAACAAAAGGCAAATGGACACATCTGAACACCCCACTATCTTTTAGGCTATATCCAGAACAAGGCCGCCATTTTGAAATCCAGCATGTTAGATATAGAATGAGTCTTTTAAATTTGAATCTGCATATCAAAGAAGAGCAAAATTGTGTCTTGTGTGTTGACCAGGGAAAGTAGCAACAACAACCGGGAACATTGACTGTAACTTCAGTTCTCAAACAAAGCATAATGTGTGGGCGGATAAAGCCAAAGATCGAATAATAAACATGATTTAAGGTGTTTCTGGTTGTTAGGTTTGCACATATTTTGGTTCTTGCATGCATTTTCTGTTCTGTTCTGTTCAGTGATTACAGCAGGCCTCTGCTTTACCCTGAGCTGTGAGTTAAGGGCAGATCTGTGGACGTCCGTGTGTAGCTGAATGTGTAAACAGCTTTCTGCTGCTGCTACAGTGCAAACAAAGCAGAGTTAGTAATGCAGTTATGCATGTGGAGATTTTGATCCCTGATCCCTGGCATGGGGCGTATGAGAGAAAGAAACTTTGAATTATTCCATTTCCCCTAACAGAGCAGAGTTTTTTGGTGGATTAGTAACTGCTGGAGTGAAACAATGTCAGCTGCAAAGCTGATGGAGGGGAGAAGGATTTGTCCATAAGTTTTTGCTCAGCTTCTCAGACATAGAGCCATTTTTGTTGGTGCACATCAACCATTTTTGTTGCCTGACACCTTTAAGGCACTCGTGTTTTTCTACTTCCATTCTTTAATTGGGGGCTATCATTGGACGAGAAGCACAGGGCCACATGGAGACAAACAAGACAGACAGCTACATACTGCCCTAAATGCTATTTATAATCTCCAATTAACCAAACATGGATGCTTTTGCGCGGTGGTCTTTGTAAAACTGAAGGTATTTGTGTGCAGCAGAACCTGCTGGGCTTCCTCACGGCTCACAGAGGAACCAGTAGTAAGTACATCTGATTAGACGTATCGACTGGTGAAATGCTACCACTCGCGCTTCCGCTCATAAAGCTGAGCCATATTGTAATTAGCCTGGAATCAATGTGAGCATTCAGCTGTGGCCCGCAGAAGCACAGTGTGACTGGAATTGCTGCATTACTGTGAGAAGACTGCATTCTTTCAGGGAAAGGTTAGAGGTCAGTGCTTTATTGAAGATCGGGGGGGCAGAGGGGTCGCATCTCGTCTCCTTTTCTCTGTCGGAGATGAAAAAGCTGAGGCGATTCTCCACCTGCTGTCCGTGGGCCGGCCGTCTTTGCCGTCCTGAGTGATGGAACTTCACACACTGGCTGCACGGCTGCAGTTAGCTTCATGTGTAATCTTGAGCGTGTCTAACCTGCACCATGGCATCCCCGTTAAATCGGTGGGATGAGCTCACTTCACACCTGCCGTTCCTCCAATTAACTGATTAGATTAGAGCAGTGTATAAATAAAAAGAGCCTGGGTCGGAAACATCAACATCACCTCAGAGGAAGGCTGGAGGGGAGTGAAAAGCTTTTCCCTCCACCTCCACCTAAGTGCCTTTTAACAGTTGTTTGATTTGACAGGGGTGGACAAACGCATGCTATTTTTATTTTCTATTTTTTCTTTTATTTATACGTTTTTCGGCTTAACCTTCCTTCAAACAAGGAACAGGCAAATATTTTCCAAGGGCCCTGGCTAAGATACAACAGAGTTAAGATCCAAAGAAAAAGTAGAATAACATCCACATACACTGCATCAAGTATAAAAGATTTTACCTGTAAGGTTAAAATAATATGAAAATTAAGAAACCTAAACTTCAAAACAGCTAAATGTCAACTATTGCGAAAATGACTTGATGGTCCACCAGAGCTTTTACAAGAACACACAAATGTCTTTTATTTTTTAATCTGCTTAAATCTGCACATTTAAGATTAGCTAAAACAAATTAATGTAATCTGTGTTGAATTAAGTAAACAGAGATAAATTAAACTAAGATTAGGTAAACCAATGTAATCTAGACTATCTTAAAATGGCTTTAAAAACCAGACCAAAAAGTCCCGATTCCACATAATTCTTCATCAGAGCTGACTTCCTGGCAGAGTTTACACTCTTGCAGTGATGTCATCTTGTTTTACGCCTGCTCACTTTGTGTTCCCAGATATGACATGTGACATATTAGCCGGGGGCAGTTTCTATTTAGTAACTCTAAAGGGCAAACAAGGATGTCGTCCTGTGTTAATTTTGAATAAATGGCACTTATTCTTAGGAAAACTTCAATAGATTATTCAATTATTAAAGTGATTGTAGACCAAAAGAAACACCTGTCAGAGGCATTTGTCTGAATTAGACATAAACAGTTAGTAAAATCTCATCATGGCCCCACTCAGAGGAGAGCAGAACAGAGACTGGCTGAAAGAAGTGTGGGAAAATGCTTTCAATCCGAGTGAAACCTCAGGCCAGATAGGATTCTGGGAGACTGAAAGTTTGTGCCAAACGCTGACAACCCAAAGTCGGTTTAGTTTTCCCCTTCAACTCTCTGTTGCTTTATCTCCAATTGATGTTCTGTTCACCCTAATTTGAGCTAAATTGTCACAGATTTGAATTCAAACCCTTGTTTGGTGTTGCAATCTAACCCAGCTAATTGATCTGTTGCATTTGAATTCAACTTGGGGCATCTGACCGGTGCATGCGGCCTTTTTCCAGGTGCCCACGGAGTGCGAGAGGAGCCCCAGTTTGTGACGGCGCGCGCAGGAGAGAGCGTCATCTTGGGATGCGACGTGTCTCACCCCCTGAATGGACAGCCCTATGTGGTGGAGTGGTTCAAGTATGGCATGCCGATCCCTTTCTTCATCAACTTTCGCTTTTACCCTCCTCACGTGGATCCAGAATACGCCGGTAAGATGCCGAAAGACGGGGGCAGTTTCTTTCCATAACGTTGGAGGCAGATTGAAATGCCTCTGCTCCGACACATCTGTCCATCACAAATCAAAGCTCCTCTTTACATTTTGTTACACCGTCCAAACTGCTGATGTGTGCTCACTCCACCCGGTTGAGTGCTCATATTTTAGCAGAGTAACTTCAGTGAGCTTAGGGGTTTTGTTCTGAGGACAAAATCCAATTGTAAATAGACGATATTTCCCTTTTTCTGTTCCTCTGTGAAGCCCGCTGTTGTTATTGGTGGTTGTAATGCTCTATATGACTGGAGCTGATTTGGCATTTCCCGTCTTATATCCTCGATATTAGTTTTGGCCTCTGCTTATCAGGAACAACAGACCTCTGCTATCAGCCTCCGTTGGTGCTTTTGAGGTTAAAAGAGGATGTTTAGTTTTTCGGGCTGTTCTCATTCGATGAAAAGATATTCACGGGCGCTTTAAACCTCCCTCTCCTTGACAGCGTCTGATTGGCAGGGGGATTACCAGGGTACACGGTGATAAATCAAATTGGCGACAAACTAATTTGGACAGCTTTAATGAAATGACTTTTCCTTCAGAGGCAGCAGCTTTCGCACTGCCTGCTTATTTATGTGCTGAGCTCAAGGTGAAATCTGCCGTGGGTGGAGGGGGATTTCCCCTCTCCCCTCCTCTGATCGTTACCTTTTACAAATTCTTCCCTCTTTGGTTTTGGATTTTGAGCCAGAGACCTTTTTATTTTGTGTGTTCAAATCACAACTTCTTAACAAGCGTTGCCTCCATCAAAGAAACACTCAGACATTTGGGATGTTGACCATGATTCGTTCTGAGTTTTTTTAAGCTTGTTGTCCATTTCATCCACTGAAAAAGGGGTCGGCTGTTTCAGCCGCCTGCTGGGGATCCCTGTTGCTTGGAAAATAAATATTTACTTTGAATTGATCTTATTTTAGTTTGTTTTAGGTAAATATAGTTCTATTTTTAAATATTCTGGAAATCATTCGAGCCTCAGAGGCTGGCCAGCAAAAGTTTTATTGAGCTTTTCAACTCTGATCTGCAGACTTTGTCTGCTAAAATCACATTAATCAGGTTGTCAATTGCAATTAATTGAATGAGCAAATATATTTTTTGCTTTGTGCAGTGAAAGTGTCCTTTCTTTGTGGCTGCTGATGGCTGACACCATTTTTGGTTTCCTGCATGCACAGGATTGAAATAAGAGTTTAAAATTTTTAAATAATTTTATTTAATAATTAGACAAACTCACTCCGTATTTTATTTAAAAATGTAAACGTAGGCTTCCGCCCAGCGTCAAAATGTTTGAATGATTTTTTTCTTCTCTGCAAAAGTTTGGGTTTGTTTTTCAATGCTTTGTGGTTTTCTGTGTTCAATGGGGCTCTTTAAGGTTGTCGACCCCTCCTTTAGAGGATTAAAAAAAAAGACAAATAGAGTATATTAAAAAGTTAAAACAGAATCCAACTCAAAACGCTTTACTGTAAAGAAATCTTTTCCTTTTGTCAAAGCTTCCTGTGGATTTTGCTCTGAGCGGTGGGCTCGACTGTAGGAGTCCATTTACCCTGGAGGGCATTCCCCAGACGGGGGCAGCGGCCCAGAAAGCTGCTGCTTTGCCCAGTGATTTAGGTTTGTAAGCTGAAGCTCGACTCGGGTCTGAACAGCTAACGGACGGGATCTGCTGTCCAGAAAAGCAGGAAAAACACTGGTCAAACTCTCCTCGTCCACGGTGAAAAAAATGGAACAAATCTCCTAAAGATGTGAGCTTAGTGCACAAAGGATGGATGTTTAAGCTGAACCTGAAGGTGTGTCTGAGCGGGGCACTGTTTTCCTTTTCAACCCCTTCAGTTTCTGCATATTTCAGGACAGAAATATGCAGATTTTTCTGCACCGACACATTATGCTGCTGTTACTGTGCTACAGTGAAATAGGTCCATAAAGACCCAAAGATGCATATTCTTCGTTCTAACTCCAGTTTGCATGCAGGTGTCCCTGTTTTAGGTGCCTAAGTAGAAAATTACAGAAATTTCAAGGCGTAAAAGCATGAAGTTGTTTGTCAGCCTGCTGTGAAAGCGGACTCTGGATGGACCTGAACGTCTTCCCCTGGCTTTGAAACAGCTGCGTGGTCACTACGGTGCATTTAAGCCCTCATGAATAAAACACTGGTCATTAAAAAGGGGGATTTCCTCCTCTTCCCCCTCCCTCCGGCTTCATTTCAGACAACCTCTGTACGTTTGGCTCAATGACAGGAAGTTTTAAGGTGAAAGCAGTGGCCCCACAGGCATGTGTGCGCGTTGGCGGGGGGGGGGGGGGGGGGGGGGGGG